AGACAGACAGACAGACAGACAGACAGACAGACAGACAGACAGACAGACAGACAGAGACAGAGATAGAGGACAGAGAAAAAGCCAATATGTCCTTTAGTTTCCTTTGCTATTCTTTGTCGTTGTTGGAGTTCTAGGCCCAAAAAGGCCACTGTATATCATAGAGTACAGGACGCGACTTTTGACCTGGAAATCAGGGCTTTAGAATCATCCAGCGTCTTATCCATGAGATAGGAAGGTGAGAGAGACGACCGTGCTCATAAAGTTAAGCAAGGAATGAGATCACAGGATAACATATAAGTGACTTGTATGGCGCGGAGGATGCAGCTGAGATTAATGATTATGAGATTAAATACCTTTTTAATAGTCACAATGAGGAGTTTCGACTATTTTAACAGTCTTCCCCCACGACACTTTTGTGGTTTTTGTATTATTATGCATCAGTACTATAATTCTTTTACTATGGCTTTCTGTAAATTAAATGGGCACGAATGACTTGGTGCATCTAATCCACTGAACATATGATTTAAACCAACATTTTGGATCTCAAGTCTAGCTGCGTCTTATCTGCGCGTGTGTTCTAAAAGCTGTAATATATGGTAAATATGCTGTCTAGATTGTCTAAGAGGGCCACCAACTGTCAAGAAGAAAGTGGTTGTCTTAGACACAAGGACGTCTTACACGGTGTCATTAGAATATCTAAAAAAACCGCAAGAGACGAACAGAGAAGCGGCCCTTTGTACAGGTGATTGTCTTAAATACAGGTGGGTTTTAGAGCAGGTTTGGCTATAAATATCGACCGCATTACCATCTCAAGCCACAAAAGAGTTGTGGAAGACTCACTTGAGGTGTCGAACTTCCTGCTGGTAGCAGATGAGGGCAGCATGGTGGACAGGCTCTGGCGCGCTGGGGTTGGTCAGTTCTTGGTCCAGTGCAGTGGTCAGGTCGGAGAGCTTCACCTTGCCGTGGGGGTTGAAGCCTAAGGACTGTGGAATACACAATTGTACACTTCGCATATTGATTTATACATACATTTTGATAATTTCATAGTTTTTTGTTAGAGCTTTACGGCATTTGAAAAATAAAATAGATCATAATAAGTATCGAAGATTAGAGGCTAGAGAGTAACATATAATTGAAAGAAGGAGGAGAAATAAGGATGGTAGATGTTTGATCAGAAAGAAGGAGTAGACCTCACCAGAGCACCCACTAACAATACACCCTCTTAGTCGACAATGAAATGAACTATAAATAATATTACTTCCTTTGAGTTCACCACTGAACCTTGGTTAGTTTAGTTTTAGTAAGAGTTTCACGGCACCTGCAACACAATAAGGTAAAAAATATGCCGAAGATTAGAGGTGTCACAAGAGAGTAACAAACACAAAAAAGAAGGAGGAGAGATCAGGACGATAGATGTTTGATAGGAAAGAAGGAGAAAACCACACCAAAGCACCCGCCAACCAGTCTTTCTCGTGGTGTTCTTTCGTTGGAGATTAAAAACAAACAAACAAACAAGGAAACAGGCACGATTATGACTACGTGATGCAGGGTTTTCAGTTGTAGTCTTCAACGAGTCTGCACAAGCAAGCTCACTCTTTGCCAGGAACATACAGAGATAACTAAAACACTGAATTCTGAAGGAACACATTGTCTTTTTCAACAAAAAAGCACAAAAAAACCCAACCAAAAACAAACAACCCCCTAACTCTTGTTCTAGTAAGAGTTTTACGGCACTTGCAACATAAAAAGGTCATATAAGCGCCGAAGACGAAAATTAGAGGTGTTACAAGAAAGTAACAAACACAAAAAGAAGGAGGGGAGATACAGACGACAGATTTTTTTTATAGGAAAGAAGGAGCAAACCACACCAGAGCACCCGCCAACCACCCACACCCCCAACTCTCCCCCCATCAAAACAAAACAAAAATTAAAAAACCCACCTCCGTCGCAAAAAAATCCCCCAACAACAACCAACAACCAACCCCCCAAAACAAACAAACAAAACAAATAAAAACAAACTAAACAATAACAAAAATCGGCATATATTCTCTTTTCTGAAAAATTGTACTTTCTGGATTAAGAACAGTTAAAGAGTTTTCCAATAATTTGAACGACAGTGCAGGTGCTAAGCCACAAACATTGTTTCCTAGAGAAAAAAAAAAGCTGTATGACAGACATTTTTCAACCCTCTCTTCCAACAGCAATTAATAACTTTCAGCAATTAATCATGCGTCACGAGTTTGAAATTATTAGCTTACCATTACATTCTGCACAATTACATTTTGATGATATGTGAATATGATGATAATACATATTACATAAAATGTCCTAAACATTTATCTTAAAACGCAACCCTTTAATAAATCATGCATATACTAATATGCATTGCTAATTCGTGACATGGCGGAAGTTATGAATCGTTCACTTAGTGTTGTACATACAGACTTCAACATAAGTTAAGGACCACTTGCAAACACTCCGAGTGGTCTTCTTTGGGCGTCCCGGGACTGATCCAGTGGCTTGATGGCGCTACCTCAAGCGGACAATGACAGAGTGTGACACTGCAAGCCTTCTGGCAACTTCTTGGGCTCCAATTCCATCCTGCAGCCATGCCATAGCTCTGGCACGATCAAAGTCTCTCAGCTTTCGTCTTGGTGGCATGTTGATGCAATACTCGATTTTGCGCAAACGGCGGCTTACATTGCCACCAAAATGAGCACAGTTCGAGACTACACGTCCGTTTATCACGTGCACCAGAAATTTCAACTGAGTAATGTCCGTGGTGTCGCACACATGTCGATAAAAATCATCAAATTTGGCTAAAATACCCCGAGGATTCCCGTGCTGCAAGCGGTGGTTTTGCCCCTTTAGGAAACTTTGCAGTACGCGTTGGTAACCCATTAACAAATACAGTGAAACATTTTTTGAAACATTCCCTGCTGTCTTTTTTTTTCGGTTAAAAAAAAATCAGGGCTGTCTGTCAAGGAGGTCCTTAACTTATGTTGAAGTCTGTATAATCATAAAAGCGACATCTTACCAGCAAAATGTCTGAGCCATTGGTGATACCCAAACCTTCCCAAAAATCCACAATGTCTTCGGCCTTTGCAAAGCTGGAAAGGAAAGGAAAAACAATAAAAAATCACGTTTACATGACATTCAGTCAGTAGCTACTTAGATAAATAAACAATAACCCAGATCAACAAGTCTTTTCACAGACTTGTGTGAACTCCATAGTTACAGATGCAAAGAAGCATAATATACAGAACCGGTGTTCGTGGTGTTGCTGTTAAGGGCTTCGCCGTTCCGCACAAAAGACCCCAGTTCGATTGGTTATACAGCTAATGAAGAATAAAGGTGTTACAATTGTGCAACATGCAAAGAAAAGAAGAAGGAGAGACAAGAACGACAGATGTTCAATAGCCGAGAAGAAAAATCCCACCCCAAATCGCCCGCCAACCAACCACGTGACCAGCTGTAATTTGGACAACCCCAAAAGCCCCAAAGAGGAGAAAATGAAAGGAAGTAGTACAGGACTTTCTAAACTCTAAGTGCCATCCCCCTTTTCTTCCCCACTCCTCCACACACACACACACACACACACACACACACACACACACACACACACACACACATGCATACACACACATACACACACACATACACAAACTTCTACCAAAGGAAAAAGGATAAACAGAATGACAAACAAATGAAAATACCGTCACAAAATAAATATAAAAGACAACAACAACGAGGACAGAACCTCCAAATAATACCAAAGCAAAGAAAGAGTAAGCCAGATAATAGACTGATAAAAATACATAGCCAATCAGAACGTAGAAAATTCTCAAACTCAGTGGGTGGTTGCGATGAAGCCCGAATCCCAGCCACCCAGCAGTATGAATAAAAGATGAGCTCACAGGAACGAAACGGGGCCCAGAGCACAGAGCTGTAATGGCGGTTCAGTGTTTGAGAAATGCCAATACAATGTGGTGACAAAAGTATAGGGCAATGAAGATAATTGGCAGCACGTAGGTCGGTCCTCAGGGGAGGATTAGCTGTCTGGCTTGGGGATTTGCTTTTTTGGAGGGGAGGGGGGGGGGAGGAGTTGTTTTGTCTGGTCTTTTACTTTTATGCTTCTTACAATACCCAAGCATATTGGCTGTATATGAAGCAGACATTTTGGAAACAACATCGGTTTTAGATTTGAGTAAGGAGAAGCGCAACAGAGTAAAGAAAATATAGTGCTGGGAAAAGCAAAATGGACAGAGTTAAAAAAAGAAATGGAACAGACGTAGAACTATCATAAAAATAGCCATATCACACCTGTAAAAATAATGAGATACACCCTTATACTTTCCTTGAATCCAAACGTATTGACAATATCTCTCCTTTTGGAGCATATCAAGGTAGTCATTATCTACTTCCTTCATGTGTACTCACGCGCTATCACGCATACTGCTTAAGATGGTATGTCATAACGTAAAAGACCATACTATGACCAGTGGCGCCCTCTAACCACACGACCTGTCTCTCATAGAAGAGATAATAGACATACGAGTACAAACGTGGCGCTTAGTGAAGGAGCGCTTCAGAAAGCATTCAAATCCTTATGCGTGCAAACTAATTAGGTGATGACAGAAGAATAAAGAAAGCAACAGGTATATGAGGCCAAAATGGAGGTGTATGTGATGGGGGCTACTGTAGAAAACCTAGAGAATTTATTTGGTCATCAAACTCCCCGAAAAACCGGGCTGCCTGAAGGAAAAATGATGAGAATAAACAGACTTCCTCATCAAAACTTAAGTCTAGAGAGGAGACCATGACACCAGCACACAAACTGGTGCCTTTGGTGTAGGGGTTAGGTGATTCGCTGTCGCATGCAGATGACCCGAGTTCGATTCCCGAGTGGGGAGGAAACCCTCTCATTAAAAAAAACACTCACTCACTCATATGATCATTACAACTGGAGTACATGGAGGTTTGTTTGTTTGTTTGTTTGTTTGAGTAAAGAGAAGCACACCAACACAATAACGGGCATTTACGCTGGGAAAAAGTGAGACAGACAGACAGAAACGATAGAGGGAAAGTAAAGAAGTAGAACCTACCAGCGACGCCCTCTAACCACTCGTGTTCATGAAGGAGAATAATTATGACACAAACAGACAAACCCATCCATCATAAGTGGTGTCCTTTTGTTTTTTAGTTACGAGTTTTAGGGCATTTGCAATACAATGATATCCTGTAGCAAGTTGAGTCCGTGGAGAAGACCATGACACAAACAGACACACACACACCCATCCAAATTGAAGTCTATAGATGAGAACATGATACGAACAGACACCCATCTATCGTAAGGGCCGTCTACGGAGGAGACCATGACACAAACAGACACACCCATCCATCATAATGGTGAAAATGGTGAAATGGTATAGGTTTAACGCCCCTGTTAACACAATTAGGTTATTTAAGAAGCGGGATCTCCAAGTTTTACGTCCATCTCCGAAAGGATCGAGCCAAGTGGGTTTTTCGTGTAAAGAGCCTTTCCCAAGGACACAACGTCGAACCGAGCTGACACTCGAACCCCGAACCCTCTACGAGTCTGGTAGCCTAACCACTAGGCCACCGAAGCCACCTTAACCATCATAAGGGACGTCTACTGAGGACACCACGATACACACAGACACACCCACCCATCGTAACTGGAGTCCAAGGAGGAGAAAAGGCCGGCGAAGTCCCCGCTGACAAACTGCGCCGGCGTGTTGTTCCTGGCCGGTGTGCCGCCTCTCTCGTCTCCCCGGGAGCGGGACTGACTCCGAGAGTGACTGCGAGAGCGAGGGGTGGTGCCGCGGGACCGGGAGCCGGACCTCAAGGACGACGCCGCGGAGCTGGACGGGAAGGTGGAGGTCGGAGGCAGGCCGTTGATCAGCTCGGACAGGGAGATGTAGCCGTCCTTATCAGCGTCCATTCTGGAGAACAGCTCGGACATTTCCTGTGGTGTAAGGTAGAGACAATTTGTAAATTTGTTTGCTTGAGGAAAGAGAAGCACATTGACAAAATAGTGGTCATTGAGTGCTAAGAAAAAGTAAGACAGACAGACAGACAGAAACAACGGAGGGAAAGTAAAGAAGTAGGACCTACCAACCAGTAGTGCCCTCCAACCACCCGCGAGGTAGAGATAGATGATGGATATGCCTTGGCAGAGAATGTAAACTAATAGTACAAAATGGCTGTTTTGTTTTAGTAAGAGTTTTACGGTCATTTTGTTACTAAGCAGAACCAGTCAGGACACATCTGTCAGCATAATGTTTATTACAAATCAAATTACGAGCTTACTAGCTGTACGGGGCTTGAGCTCCGAGTAGTATTCAAGATTTCACAGACCTGCTGCTAATTATGAGCATATGGAAAAAGAAATGTACACCATTCTATTAATATATTATGTCACTGTCTTTTTCGAGAAGTGAGGAGCAGAATTCCTGACCAGACAGTTGTGTCAACAATAACTGACACTCCTCTTATTGTGTCAGACAGAATCCAATATGGCAACTGTAACACAACTGTTGTAATACGCTCTCCTTCTTTTCTTCGTATGCTACTCTCAGGTAACATCTTTTTGTTTTTGTAAAGTGTTTTACGGCGCTCGCAACTGCATAGGTCATATGAGCGCGCGGGACACACCTAATATTTTCAGTTGGTAGGAAATTTTGAATTTTGCCCGGGTGGCAGCCGAAGCCTACTCTTATCGATTTTAGACCACCAAGGGATCTTTAACGTGCGCAACTTGCACACGGGCCCTCCGAGATTTTTCGCCCTTGTCCGAGAAGGCTTGGTGTAGATCTTTCCTACCAGAAGATCAGGGGTGTGGCTGAAAGACAGCAGTAAGGAGGAGCCAAGGAGTAGCAGTAGAAAGGCTGCAGAAAGAGTCAGGAGCCCAGAGGAGGGGGCAAAGGAGGTGAGGGGGTGGGGGCAGAAAGTGGAAATGAAAGCAGACAACAGAACATTGCTAGAGAGCAGGAAAGAAGGTGAAAGGAGACAATTTTAGAGAAGAAAATTTTTCGGTCGCTACCCGGATTCGAACCCGGGACCTTTGAATGAGAGGCCAACACCTTAACCTCTAGGCCACGAGAGCCCCCAGGTAACATCTCTAATCCTCAGCACTTACATGACTTGATTTGTATAGCAAGTGACCCCAGTCCACTTTGTGTAAAACTCAACTAAAACATGACTAAAACGTTTGAGTCATCGTTGCAGACGACACCGCTAACCTGGTCTTTGAAGTCACCCATGCCGATGTAGGCGCAGACGGAGCCAAACTCAGCAAGGTTAAGGACACCTGAGCTGCCCACGCCCAGCTGCCGGCAGACATCTTTGAGCTGTCGCAGACCTGTCTCCGAGTTACCGTCTTCAGTCATCAGCTGACCTGTGGGGAGATGCAGGAATTTTTAATTCCTCTAGTTTATGTATAGTTTAAATAGCTGTAAAGCACAAAGAGCATGCTGTAGAACGTAGACATAAGCTATATAAATGCACCAATAAAGAACATTCTTCTTCTTCTTCTTCTTCTTCTTCTTCTTCTTCTTCTTCTTCTTCTTCTTCTTCTTCTTCTTCTTCTTCTTCTTCTTCTTTTTCTTCTTCTTCTTCTTTGGTAAAAATAAAACAGATATGTCCTTGGAAATCAAACCTTGCTTTCATTTGGAAAAGATGGGTGACGGAAAAAGACCAGGATGATATACATTTTTTGAGAGCACCCAAATGGAGCAACGAGTGTCATACTATGCTGCCGTCATTTTGAAAATACAGTACATGCAGTTTTTTAAATTTCACAGGAGCGCCAAAAAATTAAATATTGTTACAAAAAAAATCACCATTTAAAAAAAACAGATAACAAGGAAGTTATTACCAAAATTGTATTCCTAAAAGTATTGACATGGAATGTTTGCAAAGACTTTGTTTTCTCGGTAACAACATTCACGTTTTTTCGTGGCTCACCTACAAAGCTGAAAAAAAATGCATTTACTGTATTTAGAAGATGACAGCAGTAAGATTGCAGATATCTGTTCCAGATCCGGCACTTGACCTAAAACACATCTGGACGTGGACGGCTGGTGCCTCTATAAATAAATGATTGATGGTCGATCCGGCACTTGACATTCCATGACATCAACATTTTATTCGCGTATGAAGACGATAAAAAATAGACGTGCTCAGAAACACACAACTAGACATTTGAACATGGTTTGAATTAGATGTAATAACATATTTACATATTGCAGATGGATTTAGTGCTGTTGCTGAGCAACCCTCCCCACTAAAAAAAACAACACACAACAAAAACAAACCAAAACCAAAAACAAACAACCACAATATGTGGATAAGACACATGAATATACCGTTTATCTTGGGGCTGAAAGAGGAAAACTTTTTTTTGTCGTATACATATTATGTAAATTCGCAAGCTTTGTCGTCAAACCCTTTTTGTTGTTGTAACCGTTGTTATGTATATATAATAATTTTAGACACGACAATGCAAATAGCTGCAATGTTTCCATTTGAAATAAATTGCCCCCCCCCACCCTTTCCCCTCCTCATTTTAAGGCAATGATTAATATATTGAAATAAAACAGAACTGTACATAGATATAGTTTTAGTGTTTAAATCAACAGCATTAATAAAGAATTTATGAAATATATTTAAAGGAAAAAAGGCATCCAAAATATAAATCAGTTGTCACATTAATAACTGAAAGTTTCACTTTATCGGTACTTTTACAGGTTTAGTTCGAGCAAAGAAAAAAATTATAAAAACGATCTCCCTCCACAAAAAGCCCAAAACACAAAACATCCAAAAAAAAACCAAAAACCACTAAGCAATCGCCCCCAAGACCCCCCCCTCCCCACC